CGTGATCTTGAACTTTGATGACCTTGACCTTCATAAGGTCAAAGGTCATTGACCTTAGCTATCAGTTAATACTTTGACATTTGACCTCCGACATGTACTTCCGGTTTTATAGCTGTCCAAAACAGCCAAATTCGCAACTTTGGACTGCTCTAGCACGTGACCTAATTCACCTACAGGGTTAATTTTTTCGGATTCTTCATGTGCTTTTCATGCTCTTTCAAGTGATTTATAACAATCGTTTTTTAAACCAAAATTGAAATTCGTGAATTTTTCAAATTTGAGTTTTTTTTTTTACAAAATTTCTGTTTCTTTGAGCTTGGTGTGTATATATCTTGTGACCTATTTTATGTAGAACATTGAAACTTGGAACACAACAAGACAATTTGAATATAAATTAACCTATGACAAAAAAGTTGAGTGGGCGTGGCACATCCGGGTTGAATTACTAATTGTTTACATTTTGGGAAAGGACATAACTCGCATAGGATACATTTGTTCAAAAAGGAACTTTGCACACAATTACCTCATTATTTTGGCCAGTTTGTGTTAATAGGTCAATTGTTTCAGCTTTATAATTCCAAAAAAGGAACGGGTTTTGAAATTTCCATATTTCTATTTTGACCTTTATTGACTCTTGTTGACCTATATCTTTTGACCTGTATGATGTAGAGGCTTTAAATTTGGAACACAACATTACATTCAGAATATCAATTAACCTATGCAAAAGAAATTGAGGTGGGCGTAGCACATCCGGGTTAAATTACTCATTATTGACAATTTTGGCAAGGGACATAACTCGCAACGTATACATTTGTTCAAAATGGAACAATTACTTCATCCGTTGAGCCACGTTGTCTTAGAAGTTCGATTGTTTCAGCTTTATAGTTCAAAAAAAGAAACAAGTTTTGAAAATTCAAAATTTTCAATTTTTGACCTTGACCTTTTTTGACCCCGATTTTTGTAGGATCAAAGGTCATTCACATTGGCTATCTATTTATACTTTTATATTTGCTGTCCTATCTCAACTTCCGGTTTTATAGCCGTATATATTTAAAAATTTTGATGACTTGTATCTCGTAACCTTGACCTTTGTTGACCGTCTCCCTTTCAATGTCAAATGTCATTGACCTTGGCTATCTTCTGATACTTTCATTTGTGAGGTCTGTCTACTTCCGTTATAACAATCTTCCAAAGAATTCATCTCAACTTTAGACTGCTCTTGCGCGTGATGTAATTATCGTAGAAGGTTGATTTTTTCAGAGTCTTTTGCATTTTGCTACATTTGCACTCTGTGCCACATGTGGCTCTAGTTTTTTTTTAAGATTATAATCTATAAGCTTATAAGATTGATATTTACAAAATCTATTGACACATAACTATTCGACTGCAATACAACTTTATTTACATCTACAGTAATATGATAGTTTAACACTGTTCCTTAACTTGATTTACAGTAACATGATTGTCTAACATTTTACTGTTCCTAAACTTGATAACAGTAACATGATTGTTTAACACTCTTCTGTTCCTTAACTTGATTTACATCTACAGTAATATGATTGTTAAACATTCTACTGTTCCTTAACTTGATTACAGTAACATGATTGTCTAACATTCTACAGTCCCTTAACTTGATTACAGTAACATGATTGTCTAACATTCTACAGTCCCTTAACTTGATTACAGTAACATGATTGTCTAACATTCTACAGTCCCCTAACTTGAATACAGTAACATGATTGTCTAACATTCTACAGTCCCTTAACTTGAATTCAGTAACATGATTGTCTAACATTCTACCTTCCCTTAACTTGAATACAGTAACATGATTGTTAAACATTCTACTACCCCTAAACTTGATTTACAGTAACATGATTGTCTAACATTCTACAGTCCCTTAACTTGATCTACACTAACACGAATGTCTAACATTGTATTGCCCCTTGAGCCTTTACTTGATCTACAGTAACATGATTCTCTAACATTTAACTGTCTCTTAACTTGATTACAGTAACATGATTGTCTAACATTATACTGTCCCTTAACTTGATCTGCAGTTACATAATTGTCTTTCCGTCTGATGTCCTACTATTTAGCTTGATTCTCGGACGAGATTTACAGATGGACCTTCTACAGATTTAGTGCTGGACACAAAAGGTCACAATTTATGCGAGTTGCTCAGATCCAATTTCGATTGTCTAGTGTTAGAGAACTTTCACAATGACAAAATACAAAATTTGGCATAAGTACAGGAAGTTGGGCCATTAATGAGTCCATCGTGACATTACCGGATATTCTAAAATATATATCCTCGAGTTCAACACGATACCAAAATTAGTACAGTAGAGGGGTAGGCTTTTGGAGGTGTACGAAGAAGAGAAAAGATCACCCCTTCGATCATACTACGTGTTGTGTTTACGAGATGTTACTCACCATCTAGTTTACAATTCCACGCAGTTAAACAACCAATAAATCACCAATGACAGAAGCATAAGGCTGTGGGGGGTCGTTTTTTTAATTAAACTAAAGTGAAATTAATCTACGATGGTGGTCATTTTTTATTGTCCTTAACAACAGGGGAGCTTACCCCTCAAAGCGAAGTTAATTTCTGGCTTGATGTTACTAATATCACTTAACATTATAACGTAAAGTTATGCAATAACATTTTCTTACATGAGAGGTAAACTAATCATTTCTAAATCAACACAACCATTAAAGCCTTTTTATATTCTTTCGTCTTTTTTACTAACAATTTCAGATTGTAGTTGTATCCATTCTTTCCTTTTCAAAATGTCCATCTATATCTTCAGCTCTGTAACATTTTGCAGCAATTCGATAATATGAAGAGGTATATACCAATACTTATTGACGCCTGGTGTTGGGATTATTTTATGTCAGTAGAAAAATTAAAATCAGTCGAATTCAGACACGAAACAGACGACCAGAGCCAGGGGTCATTTATCACGTCTAGTGTCAAAGCACATTATTACGGATTGACTTGGGCAGATGGAACGGCTATTAATTCCTGTGTAATCTTATCATTATATTATATAGTGTTAAATGATGATACTGTCTTTATCTGACTTCTATAACTCGAGGGTCAATCCGTTTACCCAATAATTAAATAGCCATTAGCAGCGTAATGTATGGTTAAGATTAACTTCGTCTACAAGTTGATGTGATCTGAAGTCATGTAAATTCGTTTCTTTTCTTTTAATTTCTCTTCGTTACTTGACATAAAAAAAAACATTTACCATTGGGGCGGTGTTTCACTTTTCCAAATGACCGAACGCCCCTGTTCATCGGACGTCATTGTTTAAAAGATAACCTCAATACCATTTCCATTAAAAAAAAGAAAGAGTGCAGAAACCTATTAAAATTTTTGTCATCTTTGCTGTATATTTCAGGTTAATTTTTGGATATGCAACATTTTTCTAAATAACTTCAAATCGAAAAATGTAAAAAATCCGAACGCAATGGATCTACATGGATAGTAAAATATAGAGACACAAAGTAAAGCTTTGGTTTATTGTCCGAGGCAGTCTACTTAATATTAGATTACAATTTCGTTTCGTTATTTTTGTTTTCGTTCCGAAAAAATAATATTAACGAAACGAAGTTGTAAACTGATTTCAATTATATTAAGTCCGAGGGTGCTGCGAATTGTTGTACCCACGTTCGCAAAGAGCAAAGTTAACATGTTGTCATGTCTTATGAGTAGAGAGTAAAAATATATTGCTATTTGCCAATCGAATTTTTGATATCTTTTACATATGTAGTCTTTGACTTTGGTCGTCTAATAATCTATTTTTTTTTATTCTTCAGTAGGGTCGTCGATTGCTCTTACCGATGGTTTTATCCATAAAAAGAAAATGCTAGTACCTACTTAGTCAGTAAATTGTATCCATTCTAAGGGAGATAACTACAGTTAAACAGTTATGTTGTTTTTAACTGGTTTTGTCTGTTGCCAGACGGGTCAAAGAAGGGATATGGTGACTGATGACGTAGTATGCTTGAAAGTTTTGCATTGATTTTGAGTCATCAGATAAGGGATTTTGTTGTAATGCGCACGTTTTAAGAGGTTTATTACACCTGATGAATATATAATGACTTCTTTACTGGGGAATTGGGGAGTACGCGGGTATGTAGGCTACTTTGTCAATGATTAAAATCCATAACAAGGGAGAAAACTTTATTTAAATAGATGGACTCACTCCACTAAAACATTTTATGCAAAATGGTTAGAAATCTTCTTTCTCTCTCCCTTTTTGGTTTTTTGCTGCTTATTTTGGGGTATTTTTAGAAATCTCGTTTCATTATCTTTAAGATTTGGTGAGATGATGTGAGACCTAAAGGCGGAAGGCTAATTCTAGAAATAGTCGTTTTGTGAAGCCCAAACTCTAGCGGATGAGTATAACAGATCTACTTTCAATTTTAGTAGCTCAAAATTTTCATGATCATCATATATTGAATTTTTTAGGAGACATTTAGGATTGGTCAGGCTCTCATTCGACATATTGGAAAGCTTACAACGAGATTTCTGGAAAAAGTTGTTGAATTTCGTGCTTTAACATGGGAGGAGATGGCAAATGAATTAGTGGAGTGAGTCCATATTTTATTTTGAATTAGTTTTGATGGTTCGTCATTGGGGATTGTGACTAAAAACTGGCGCGAAAACGGTTTGCATTGATTCTGATGAATTAGATACGTGTATGAACGAAAAGTAATCTGAGCGCAAAAGAAGAGTGAAAGCTTTTTTATAATTTTTAAAGTGACTAAGTGATTATATAGTTATTCATTACTTTTCTTTTTCTTTTCTCGTTATATTGCAATAACAAAACAAAAGCTCATAACAAAATTAAATAACACAAACACAAGACAATATTATGGAAAATAATTTATAATATTATTAAAGAAGTGTGTTTATTATATAATATTGTCTTGTGTTTGTGTTATGTACTCCTCACTTCTAAATGTCTTATATCAAAATCAAATAGGGAAACCATTTTTATACACCTGAACCAGGAAGTAAAGTTATCATAACAGTAATATTGTCTCTTGAACCAGCTAACAGTGCAGCTTGGACTAAATATTCTGCCATGGACTTGGCTAATTCCCTTCTAAAATCAGACACTGTCTGGGGTTTATGATCGGGTATATCGCAGTTGACCGGAACTGACATCATCTCGTTGTCATGGAGAATAGTATCATGGTCGTCACCACGGTGACTACCAATTTCAGTATTCAGATCTGCGGCTATTGTCAGTGTGTCCGGTTTAACGTCCGTCCACTCCATTTTGTTTTGTGCTGCTCTTGTGGAAATTGAAGGTACACTTAATGAATCTCGGCTTGTGGATGTGGCATTTGGTACTAGTGGATCTTCGTGTTTCAATAAGGATGCGATTGAGTCTGAAATCGGACTTGGTATTGGAATTTGGTTGCATGGTAAAAGCTGAAAAAATCCAAAACATAAAGTCCATGTAAGTCATAATGTCAAAATGCACATTATCAGCAATAACATCACAAAATATGAAAGATAAGTCTTTCGCTAATACCCAAACATTATATACTGATAAAACCGTCTGAACAGTCCTATTCGACTTAAACATACTTCAACTGAGACAAAAACTCCGAACGTAAGAAAGAGAAAATTATTATTATAAATAAAATTCAAAATAGATCGCTATGTTAATTATCAACTGTTAAAACTTGGCTACAATGAAATATTATAATACAATGAAGAAAAAATATTGTTAATCTAAACTATCTTTGTCAATTCCATTGCATATGTTAGGCCTATATAGTTTTACGCTATATTAAATGGAAAATAATACCTCACCCCCTCAACCCCACTAAAAAAGAGAGTTTTGTATTTATTAATGATTAGCATGTTGTTACCTTCTTCTGCAATTTTCTCAGAGGCTTAAAAATAAATAAATAAGTGGCTCTGGGTAATTTCGTAATTTGTTGTTTTTTGATATTTTATGTCTACAATGGAGACTTAAAATATCACATATCAGTGTCCATCTTACACATAAATATCGGAAAACAATAAAAATGGTATCTGCACTATTCTTCCCAGTAGCGTATTTAGGGGGGCATGTTGCTGCACGGGGCAAAAAAAGGAAAAAGAAAAAATAGCGTTAGATGCGTCTCCTACTTCCAAGATTTCCAGGGATACTCCCCTCTTCCGTCAAAGAAATCCTGGATACGTCACTGATAGTTCCTGTGAATGGCGAAAATAAAAGTTAAAGGTCAACCTTTCTGCAAAAAAATAATGCCATGTTCAGTGTAAGGACTAAAATCAATATAGTCTTACCTTCAGTAAAAGGGAGGCAACCTCCTCGTCAGAAAAAACTTCCCAGACCCCACTGGATGCCATGACCACAAACTGGGCATATTGGTCAATGGAAACACAAGTTGTATATGGTTCAACTATCACCGATTTCTTCATCTTGATATCACCATGGTTACCAAGTCCACGCGTTGTCGACAAAACACCATTAACGGGGCAGTCAGATGAAGCCATGTTGATGTTACCACCTGAATGACAATGATTATAACATATAAATAAAATGCATTTTGTGCAACATTCTGGCGATACAATCACTGCACTATACATCTACATCAAAACTAGGGAATCTAAATGAATTTGTACCTCTTCAAACTCTGAATTAAAATTTACTTTTGTAGTTGGCAAGGCCTACCTGCTTTAATAACTCGCTTTCTTTCTTTGATATTATCTGGTGAATGTTGTTTATTGAGTCTATAAGATCTATTACCCCGTATTAACAAACAGTTCACATTACCTACAAAATACAGCAAATACACGGGTTATATAATGATGATAATAAGATGGTGATAGCCATGTCTAATTCTCATCTCATAAAGATGTTTTACAACTAACTAGCCGATTGACCAACTGGATGATCATAGTTTTCTATCGCCCAATTCGTCTACAAGATTAAATTTGCTAGAAAGTAGAACATGGACGACTGGTGAGAACTTCAATTTGTCAGTCCTCAGTGGGTTGTGGGCTTCGGCCAGATACTTAGAGATGATGTCAGTTGCTGGAATTAGTTAAAAAATCTAGTCGCTTGTCATACTCAAGATCAGCATAAACTCCAGCCAGACTCATTTATGTTGTGACAATTGAAATCTAGGCATTATGTTTTCCAGCTATATATAACCTTACCAGCATTTGCCAAATGGATCAAGCCGATTTCTTTTAAAGATTGTTCTGAAGGGTTGTTTTGTTGACTATTTGTATCTGATTGTGTATTCTGTATGACAATATTCAAAGCTGAACAACCACTCCATCTGACCTTTGACCTTTCATCTTTTCCATACGATAGTAAAATGTCAAATAATCTATATGCCTTCTTGTAAGCTTCAGACATCCTTTCAGAAAATATAGTTTTAAATTTTGAGCTGCCTTTACATTTCTTAGGTGGATCGTCAGTTGCTTCACCGAAAACTTGTTGATATTTTTCCTCGCATATTTTGATGATTTGCTGAACTAGATTGACACTTTCGCCATACAAGTCCGCACTATCACCAACTTCTGCTTCTGATTGGTTGTCATCAATATTTTGTAATTCGGATGATTTCGTTTTAGGGTCAAATTTTCGCATTTCACTCAGCAATATTTTATGAAATTCAGTTGAGGCAGTCTCGGCTGCAGTATGTCCATTGTGTCCGTCGAAAATTCCCAAATAGCACTTTTCTGAGTCGTCTCCAAAACAATCCTGGTAAATCTTAGTGTCTTCCATTGAACTTTTCCACTTCCTGTTGGCACTGGATGCAATTCCGACTGCATAAACACACGAAGGGCTGCAATTCAAGGCAACTCCATTTACGCTGGTATCAATATTTTCTTCCACGTGTCTGAATGCATGGAATGTGTCCTCCAGATGAGCTTTCATATATTCATACGCTTCATCAATAACTTGTATTTGATGAGGATCGGGTGGTAAATCGCATGAAGTCGACTGCTTGATTTTTCTGATCAGCTGATTCCGTCGTTTGAATAGCTCTTCCCAAGATTCTGGCAGTGAATCGCATTTATATTTCATTATAACAAGACTAGCATGATATTTCCGATGTTCTAGAAGGGTTGAAATGTCCACAAAATATCCACACTGTTCACATTTTAACGTAATGTCTGGTTTATTTGTAAATTCTGGCAGATATGTGTTTGGTGTATCTAAAATAAAAAAGATAACAAAATTGACAACAGACAACACAATGACAAATCAAGAAAATAAACAATATCAAAAATTTCTTCAAAACGTTAAGCGTTTATGGAATATTCCAAAAACCGTCTCATTCTGTAATTTATTTTTTGCTTTATAGAAGAAATCAATGAAAATATGGTATTCACCTTTATTCATATTCAGTATCCTTTAAAGTAATCATATGTTTTAACGTAATATCTGTATACCATGTCTATGTACAAATCACTATAAGATCTATATTGACTACAAATTGATATCATATAGCCTAGTTATTGAATACCAATAGTCAAACAATAAATTTGATTTATGAATAGCTCTTAAGGGTAAATATATTTAAAGTGGTGTGAATACAAAATAATTATATAATTTAGAAGATGGATAGAGGGAAGTTTTGTACAATTGTCTCACTACTAGTTGCCTGTGGTCTGAATGTATCTCAGCTTTCCAAACCTAACATAAAAAACTACCAAGCGGGATAACTCACCTGACCTACGAATATTGATTCCTTTAAAATCTTCAGTGCCAATCTGAATGACGTACCCTGATCCTAAATCATTGTCTATAGTAGTATCCATTGTTCCAATATCATATATATTCTGTAAACTTTGACTGAGTGAACCCAGATCTAGTGAGGGGACGTCTGCGTTGGCCATGTTGCTTTTTCTTTCTCTTTTAAAGATAACCAATATTAATACACAAAATGATCTCAATCAGTTATAATATAAATGTAGTATAGGTTTGATACGGGCAGATCTTTATTTTGACCTTTTGAATATATTAGATCAAAGAAAAGCGGAGTTCAATGATAATTATTATGGGCAAATGCGAGGGGCAAATAGTCTTGAACACTTTGGCACTATTAATCAAATAAAATTTGAGAAAACCCACTTTAACCCTATTATCTTTGTTGGTAAATAAGTAACACTTTATCAAGGGAGGCCTTAAATCATAGTCAGTGACACAAACAAATAAATACAAGTGACCCTCAACAAGTGTATATTGGACTGATAAGAGATAAGAAAAGACTGGGATTTACCTGATTAACTCTTGTGAACAATATTCATACAAACATAATTAAATATCGAACACTTTCTAACATTCCTCGCTATAAACAACCTGTATACTTTATTCACCAAATCGCCATTGTACCGTTACTTAGCAATAGTAAACAATTACAGCTGTTCTATCAATCAATTTTACACCCTCAATTAGCTTTTAAACGGATACAAGTCTCGGTTTACAGTCCCTTTTGAACGTAACTATTAAATAAGGGCTGGAAAATCGAGTGTTAAACAGAACTAACAATGCATTACGTTCTATCGTTCTAACAATTCGTATTTAATAAAACGGAGACCTAAATAAAGTTATCGGGTCTAACATTTAACCCACTAAGACTACAATGTATATCCGATTGAAAACAAATTATGAGTTAATAAATGACATCAACACATGATCGAGATTTGAGGCAACAACGAGAGACCGACTATGGAAATTGCATTGGTGCTTAACATAGTATTACTTTGAAATGGTACGAACTCACAATACTCAATAGTTCTGATAAAAACAGGTTTAAAACCCATGTTCATAATATAACAATACGAAATTCATTTTAATAAGATAAAATATTTAGTTAATCTGATTAACATGCAAATCAAGAATATTCCATTCGGAGTGACCTTATCTCATTTTCATCGAATTACTCTCGAAAAGCAACGACCAGTTAAACTGAGTAAAACGAAAAGAATAGAGTACTCAATCAGACGTTATTTTCATGTTTCTTTTTATATTTCCATCACAAATCCCTTCCCCCTTTCTGATTTATTTCAGTTTTGGCAAGGTCAATCTTACACACTTAATCAAGCACATTGCTTAATAGCTTAGCTCTTTTAACGACTAGAAAATACATTTAAAACTTTTGTTTAGAAATTTATTTATCAATTTTATTTTAACAATAAAAAAATAATACAAGTGTGACATGGTATATGAGGTGACAACTGAATATAAGACAATACCTATTGGATCTCGACTATCAGTACGCGGAACCTTTCATGAACATTGTGAAGACTAGTCCATTTGTTTGTAAGCAAAAGACAATTTTTCTGGAACTCCGCTTGTTGAAGATGATGAGTAGCGTCTGGTAATTTGGCTAACTACAGCTACTATTAATAGAATAACTATTACCACTAACGAACATCTGAAATAGGAAAATATGATTTGTGACTGTCCATACTAGAAATTAGAATTCTCAAAAAGGTTGAACACCTCCACGGATATTGGTAAATATCACTCCAAATGTTCCAAATGGGTGCTCCTTGCAAGATGATCCATTGTTAAACAAACTCGTTCGATTTTTTTAAGATTATCCGTTTGATCACTTGAATAATTATCAACCTGCGAACATTGATATTGAGCACTCCCTAAATTTAAAATAGATTAGTTACTTCAAAACTACTTACTGTATAGAGAATAGTAAAATGGTGATGATCTTTATGCTGAAGATTCCAGGTTTTGGATGAGGTGTTGGTACTGTAGCTGTTACTGAACCGCCAGTCACTGGTGGTGGGGGAGTTAATGGATTAGGGCAGGCATATTTACTTTTTAATTCAAATTTCTGAAAGAAGAATTATTTTTACCAGACACCAATGTGAAACCTTATTTTTATTCGAGCTCGATTATACAATAAATACTTTGGAAAAGGCTGAACCAGGAGAGAAATTCATGCATATTTTTTCAGTATCCGTCCTATTTGTTTAGAAACAAGCGTTCCAGCTTTCTTAATTGAAATAATTTAATCTGAACCTACATAGTTGAGAATAGGATCCTCGGGGAAAGCTTCGAATATTCCATCTAGAATAGGTTCACAGGTTAGAAGAATGGTTGAAACCCTGAAATAGGTGAAATATGCAACCGTGAGCCTGTGAGGCTAAGCATTCAATTCTTTTATTTCGTAAATATTTTCATCTGACCAACCATGTCTGACTCGGACCATCCTGTATAACTATTTCAAATGCTTGAAGTCACAAAGTTTTATTGCATCTCGTTCACACTGACAGAGGTAGCGTGTGGAATCGGTCAATTCTCATTAAAAATACAAATTACCTTTGTTGGCCCAATTGATCGGTGGATCGGTAGACTAGAGCACCTGTATGGCCTTCCACCTCTTGAAATGTGACTTGTTCTGGATAACCGAGAATTTCATAAGAGTCAAGGGCAAGCAGTTTCTGACAAATCTAAAATAACAAACACGATTATAATTGATTATTTGATAGATGTATGGTGTAATACATTGTGTTAGTTTGTATAAATTCTCAATAAAACCCCAGAACATTGTGATATATTGTACTATATTGTATATGGTGAAATTAATTGGAAGTAAAAAGTTATATTGAAATATTGTAGTATAATTTATACAATCAACATGACATCAGGAATATTAAAACAACATTGTATTACATTGTGATACTGTATATAAATAATCTAGAAATCAACCAATAGAATGTCTGTAATAATGTCAGGTAAGATTAATTATGATATTTATTTGCATTTTACATCAATATATGACTTTTATATGCCATAAACTTTCAAATATGAAAATAGAATTAAGTTAAAATATTCAAGTAATATTCTATCAGTCATTCTGATTCAGGAAAATTTTTTGCGATTGACTGCTAGCAATTGGTAGCATCTTGGAGAATACAATAAACAAAGTACTAACGACCCAAACCACTGAACAAAACACCCTAAATCCAAAACAACATTTTGATGAAACATTGGTAGCAGCTTATGAACTTTTCAGAATTTTCAGAATATAATTAAATTTGACCTGATCATAACGAATAATTACTAAGTTAGACTTGGTTCAACCAGTCCCTGTAGTTAAGCCACTGTTTCTATTATTATGTCAAAAACCCATAATACTGTTCTAGGGTTCATAACACCGTTTTATAAAATCAATAAGCACTCACAGCACAGGTTAATAACTATGCAAATTGGGTAATGTATTCATACTACATATAAACAGAACAACTTGGCATTCTTTGAAGTAGGCGACTTAGTTTCAATTTAATGAACTCAGTAATAAGACTTTTTCGAGGGTGAAAAAAGTCCAAGGGTGCCTTTGATTCTGACCAGTGTTAAAACACCAAAGAAAGCTAATTATGCTGAAGGCTTCCAAACCTAAGATGAGGAAGTATTCCATTGACTATTTACAAATTCGAGTTTATTCAAGCCAATAAGATGAAACGCGTCTATTTTGCCTTCTCTGCAAGAAAACTCTCGTGAACGGTTCAATGAAGCCGGCTACATTATCAGTAAAATACACTACTCGCGAAATATTCGAGTAAACCCGCAAAATTCTTTGAAGGAGGAGAAAGGCGAATCATTGTTCTCGCAACCAAGCCAAAATTTAGATCACGGCCTTTAGGCTAGCTACCAGATCTCAAGTCTCATTGGAAAATGTATTAAGCACAACGTTGGTGAACAGCTTATCAAACAAGCATTATCCATCTGCGTCCGGGTGGGCAATGAGCAATGAGTCTGTTCGCCGCAGAAAGAATTTAAGGAGAATATTCGTTTATTGATAGTTGTGTGATAAAAAGAATCTTTCACCCTTTCTATGTCATATGAATTTTAAGAATACGCCAAGGCTCGGGAAATTTCATATGGTATTAGTATTTGTTTAAGATCCTCTATATCATACACTTTTTTCTTTTTATCTACAGGTACATACATATATTAAATTTAATAGTTGACGATAAAAGTTGTAAAAATTGCAAAACACCTACCGAAACATTGTGGCAGTTTCCCTCATTAAATGCAAAACATGGATTCCATGAATATGAATACAGATTGGTAATACGGTCAACTACATCTTTAAATCTATATTAATGAAGAAATTGAGTTTAGCGTTCTACTTTTCTACTCCTGATCGATTTATTGAAGATAAGCAACGTAATGTGAGGAGAAATATTCTACGGACTACGAAACTGGTTTTCCAAAATCTTACTCGCGAGGGGGATGAACAGTGTAGAACAACCCACTTCCAAGTAGAATATCTATGGAAATAAACATATAAAAGCGATTCAACTGTCGCTTTTGTAAATAATATCACGGTCTTTAACATTGACAAACTCGATGTGGAATTCTTATCAAAAAGTTCTGTGAATTATAAGTTAAGTTAAGGAAAACGTTTAGAAATTTTGTTTTTAATGTCTATTGCGAACTCAAAAACTTACGTAGGTTGATGGTATTTACTTCCTAGCGGAGTAAGATCAATGACTCCCTGATCAGTATGGATCACACAACCATCAGGTAAATGTTGAAATGGTTCCTTAATACAAACTGAAACGCAAATCAGAGACACAAACAGAATTAGCTTGGACACCATCTTGGTTGATGAGAAAGGGATGGAGCTTAACGATCTAGTTTCGCTTTTATCTGTATTATTTATAAAAATGTTATCAGACTCTTCACGTGATAAACATCTCGAGTCAATATAGTATGATGTTATTATATAAGGTTCATTTTATATAAATAAAATATTCCGAGCTTTGGTTATTGATTTTGGGGGTTGACGGGAAAGTTTTAGCAAATTTTATGAGCTTCTAGATATCCACCTTCATTCAGAATGAATACCAGTAGTCTGTAGTGTCTACAATTATGTAGTAAATTACCACTAATGTGTTACTGTTAGTTTTAGTAACATTTACTAATTCAGATACTTCTTTTACATAAAGGCATATATAGAGAAGCAATCTATTCTAAAGTTTTCATCAAGCCGACTATATCCCATTGATAACAAGTATTTGATTAGAAAGATCAAAATTGCCCCTATTTCACTTCTTGTCGTATTTTTTTTATACACGTCATATCTACTTTATACCCATTGTGTGTCTGAAAATAAAATACTAGCAACTCCTGGCTGCAACTCAAACCTTATTCTTTATTCTATTGTGTTGTGTGACCAAGACAAAGTCACCGAACATGAACAGGGGGCATAGATATTACAAGCAATATGTACATGTATTCTATTTAAGGTTCAAAACTTTTAAGTCACCCCTCTTTTTTGTCCCAATAATATTTCATTGACTACTTCTATTTTCTCTTATCTACTCTCTATTTTCGTGGTAATTGATTATCTCAACCTTTGTATCTTTGGTAACTTTTACCACGAAATTCGATCCTCATTTCATAACATAGATAAAAATAATTAGAGCACTAACTGTTCTATAGCACGTTTTTAAAATGAAGATTTCCCTAAAGTCCCTGATATGCCAACATTTCACAGATTTATTTAAAGGCTCTTATTGATCCAAACTCCAAACTGTAGAATAGAAAATAGCAAATAAGTTAGTAACGAATTCTTTTAGAATATTGTTCCTAATTGTCAATTCCTTGCTTCCTTCAGATAATTAAATGTTCCAACAAAGACAAGTCAAGTGACCTTCATTAATAACACTTTTGCCCCGAAATTTTGATTAAATTTTCCCTTTCTTATTATCAAAAATTAAAAAAAAAAATCTGAAAAGAATTTTGAAAGATATTTCTGGTTTTGGTTTTGTGGTTTGATAGATTGCAAATATATCTCACCGTCTAGTGTATATTTATAGTAACCAACGTATTATAAAACTGGATGCCCATCACGTGGAGAAATCAAGATAATCATTATAAATTACGATAAGTATCTTGATATTATCATACTCTACTTTTTATTTCAAGATGTTGAAATTAATATTTGCTCTGTCTCTGATAAATATTGTTCTCTGTAATAATCCGCTAATAAATCTCAAAGATGGATGTACAATAGAAACTACTGAAGGCACAATTGATCTCTCTCCGCTTGGGGAATCAGGTGTCGTTCCTAGGTAAGTGCGCTAAAATCTAAATCTTAATTGTAGTTCGTTGCTCTTTATTAATCTAGATTGTGGTCAGTAACTCAACCTGAATCTATAGATTGTCTTTGGTGTTTCAATCTGAATCTAGAATTTGGTTCTTGTTTCAATCTGAATCTAAATTGTGGTTCGTGATTCAATCTGAATCTAGAATGTGGTTCTTGTTTCAATCTGAATCTAGATTGTGGTTCGTGTTTCAATCTTGATCTATATTATGGTTCATGTTTCAATCTGATTCTAGATTATGGTTCGTGTTTCAATCTGAATCTAGATTGTGTTTCGAGTTTCATTCTGATTCTAAATTGTGGTTCGTGATTCAAATTGAATCTAGATTGTGGTTCGTGTTTCAATCTGAATCTAGAATGTGGTTCTTGTTTCAATCTGAATCTAGAATGTGGTTCGTGTTTCAATCTGAACCTAGATTGTGGTTCGTGTTTCAATTTGATTTGGGGATCAATATAATTACAGTGCATAATTATTCACCTGGCCACGTATTCTCGAAACAATCTTAGTGCTAGGATATCCTAGAATCAATGTTAGAAGATAAGGACCTAGGACACCCTAGCGCTAAGATCGTTTCGAGAATACGTGGCCAGGTGTTTATTGGTATTCGTATTTTACATATAAAATATGTATTATGTAAGTGTAATATTAATGTATTTCAGGTTTAAAGATCAGGCTGGACCCGGAATGTTGTATACGTATTCTTTTAATCCATGTACAGGTTTCTCAGAGGGCACTTGTAATGATGTTACAGTGAGTCTTTTGTTCAATTTCCTATGCATTTACAAATTAGAAAGGTGAAGGAAAACAGTGTCGCGGCTACCACGGGGACTAGTTGAACCAAATCCACGAGCCCCTTCCCCCAGAATTTTTTTTTATCTACAAACAGACATTGAATCGACTTACAGAATTCAGAAGATAATATTTTAAAGAAAATTCCAATTCCACTGGTAAAGTTTCGAATGTCATATAATGTTATGGAGAACTCCTTGATAATTACAATAAATCTGCTCCTTGCATTTTGTCTGATTTGTTTGGGCAGACATGAATTGTTCAATTAGGCATGAAGCAGACCATGCTTCGTCTTTTCGAAACACCTGATGGTACTTCTTTGCCCACTACAGTACAACCTTTAATTCAGATTTTGCCATTCTTTGCATGAGATTTTTGATTGACAGAATTATCTTGCTTGTACATAATTTTATTAACCTTAACATTGAGAAAGTTCTTGTACATCATCATATGATATGTTTTTCAGATATGCCAGACATTAATATCAACAGGACAGAATTTTAAACTAGGTTTCCCAAATATGGTACAGTATCAGCAAGTACCTGGTCATTCTGGAGCTTTGGTTTATACAGCTGTGGATCAATTGAATCAATTGAGGTAAATTTACTCCTCAAATTATAATTAACATCGTCGAACCCGAGTATCATACTCGGGACTAAAATGCTATTGGACAAAAAGAAAGGAGATTGATCTAGAGAATGCTATCCTTTCAGTTGTTGAGTGTTGTGAAATTATGTGAAAAATGATATTACATCGAGTTCATATTCATGGTTTGGTTCTTTAAAACGCATCGTAATACGTCATTTATAAAATAAAATTCGAATCCATAATTCTATTATACTATACTCTTCAATAATGAATAATACCCTTGTTTTGATTTCAATTTTCAGAACCTCAACAATTACCCTAACCTGTCAACCAAACATTGAAGGACAACTTATAATCAGGGGAGAGAATCCACAGTTACATTATGTAGGTTATGGATATATTTATTTATATCCAATAGGACATGTTTTGTTTGAAAAAATTACGATACGGAAAAAATATAATTTGTCTGAATTTCCTCTTTTATTTCAGGAACAACTCACCTTGATGGTCACCAATTCTAAATACGTACAAACAATTCTTAATTGATTAATTCGTTGTTATTTCGCTGTTTCAGACGCACAAAATACTCTCTCTTTGGCTGATACAACCTATACTGATCCATACCTCACCCGTGTAATACATTCAGTACCGGTATTTGAAAAAGCTGAAATAGATTACACCAGGGACATCTCGCTTTGACATAATGACATTCTCCTTTCAGAGTTTTGAACTAGTGAGCAAATACGCCTGTCCAATGCCTGTTCCTACAACACCACAACCTTACCCAACAGCAACATCAGTTACTGGACGACCACCACATCCACAACCCGTGCCTGGATTGTTCAGTGTCAAAACAAGCGTCATTCTCTTGTTCTCTATTCAGTGAGTATCGACTTTTCAAACTCTGCCTTAAAGGTGTCAAAACAGATACAGTAAAATTTGTTTTCATCTGATCAATAGAAAGATTTCAATTTGACAAACACAGGTATTTCGATATCCGTAACAATATTCAGTAGGCGCTGTGAAATATAACCCTTGATGTGTGAAAACTAATTTTAATCATGAGCGATGGTTTTGTGATTTTCAGGTTTACCTTAGTTATAATCATAATTCTACTATTGATAGCAGTTATTGGTCAGATTTCAAGACGAAATTCAGCTGATTCTACCTCTGAAAAATCACAATATTCTTTATAAAATATGAGCTAATTGACCACACGTGTGAACCATGTGGAACATGTGGGCTAATTGGCCTAGTCTAAAGCCAATATAAACACTGATTGTGAGCTAATGAAAAAACATTATTAAAAACTGTTGAACGATAAAACGGGTGTAGGTACTGATTTATAATTTTCCAAAAAAAGAGTCTAAGGTAAATTAAATTTTATAGACTGCAACATGCAGTTATTGTTAAAATTAAAAGAATCATATATGTGGTCCTCTTACGGTTCAATTTTTTTTTTTGATCGACGCTTATTCAGAAAATGTCGAAAATGCTCTCTCTTTAAAATAATAAAGTAACCGCTTTGACTAAATTGGTGGTGAATGGACCTAACCTGCCTTAAACCACCAGAATAAAAGCTTTGTTTCTTCAATGAACAGGACCATCTTCAGGAACTTGCTTGTTAATAGAAAAACATAGGCCTCTGCTTGCCTTTCAAGATCTCTCTAGCCGTTAGAACTGATTGCAGCTTATCAAAACATGTGTAGATCATTCTAAAACATAAACTATGAAGTTAGAGGATACCTGCCACAAAATAGTTAAAGTGATCTTTGCTCCACCATCTCTTGTCAGTCACACCATCTTGTTTGAGAGCCCTGCTTTTAAAAACCAAGCAAAGACCATATTGGGATGATCATTTGTATCAACCTATCAAGGTAGATATTTCAACTAGGAACCTGTTTCTAGAGGTGATGTCCCAACAGTCTTCTAGTTTTGACATTGGTTTGAGAGATTTCATAATGTTTACTACGACAACCCCTTATTTGGTTCAATAACTACTTATTCTGCCAAAAAAAAAAATATATAATGTTTATATAAACCTCGCATGTGTCGAAATGTCTTTGTTATTATGCAAAATGAATTACCCATCGACTGTACATAATATGTTTGTCCAACTATACAATAATGATACATAAGACAATTATATAGATATATACTTCTGGCATATTTATTACTTTAACGTTTCAATGTGGTTGAAGTATATATCCATATAATTGTCTTATTTATCTATAACTAGTGCTTCTAATATGCCATTAAAAGATTATATACAATAATGGTTACCATCTGTCAGCAATGTATATAAATGCAAAGGTATAAAATGTAAATATTGATGGTACCAATTTCTGTCAAATAACAACTCTGATTTTTGTGATTTCAATAAAGTACAAAAAAATTCCGAAATTGCAGCTGGATTTTATCAGCAAGTATTACAACTTTTTTTTATAAAAGTGGCTATATTAAAAATAGAATGTAATAAAAAAAACGCAACGAAAGTTTGTTAATATATTAATTAGCCTGAAAGAGCGTAACTCTAAAGCTGTAAAAAAAACTTGCCAGTCGAGATTACATACATCCACATACATGCTGTGTGCCTAACTGAAATACAAATTTGAATATATTAATGTCTCATCAATTTACATGTTACATGTTCGCTATGAAATCATCGACTCCATATGGTGAAATGCCAGTCTTATCGCCTCAAAATGGTTTACTTCCTAGGGAGGACACTCCACGTGATATACAAACAGTGCCTGGTCGAATCCAATACCAACACTCAACTAATGTGGACAGAATGAACAATTTGTCCCCCACAATTTCAGAAATGTTATGTTCCCCCGATCCTGTGCAGACCCAAGCTGACTTGAACCCAAGTGCAACCCCATTCCAACCTGTACCAACACAGCATGTTGAAATGCAACGCCACTCTGTGCATTTACCAATTGTGTCTAATAATTGTAGTTCTCTCCCTTGTCACACTCAGGGTCCAGCTTACACTGATATTGCTAAGCTTATGATTAAGAAAGATTTATTGTTTTCTAGGTTGGTAAAATATAATGACAAACCGGAATTTTTTAGCTCTTGGAAATCAAGTTTTTGTGATGTTATATCTGATCTTGATCTTAAGCCTTTAGAAGAGATTGATCTCTTAATAAAATGGTTAGGTCCAGAATCTTCCAAACAAGCACTAAGTTTAAAAGCTGCCAATCCTGGCAATATTAAGAAAGGTCTAATTCGCATTTGGGAACGTTTGAACGATCGATATGCATCTCCCGAACTAATAGAATCGGCCATTAAGAATAAACTTTCATCTTTCGCAACAATCACATATAAAGAGAATAAACGACTGTATGATTTATGTGATATAGTGTCAGAGATAGAATCTATTTAGGAGAACGATAGATATAGAACTTTATTTAGTTATTATGACTGTTCAACTGGAGTCTCTCCGATTGTAAGTAAACTACCAGTTGCTTATCAAGAAAAATGGTCGCGTGAAGCTGTTAAGCATAAGAAAAGGTACAACGTCGCTTACCCACCTTTTAGACATTTCGTCGAATTTTTAAGAGATCTTGCTCAGGTTAAAAACGATCCTAGTTTTCATTATGAGAGCACGACACCGCATATTAAAACCAAACCTCTAATAACTACGTTTTCGAAGAGAGATTATATGGATATCTCTACTAAAAAGACTGAGACTGTAACCGAACCAAATCGTGGCAAATCCATCTCAAAGGATCTTTGTCCCATTCATCAATCCAAATTACACTTTGAACCACTGCAGATTCTTTCGCATGAAACCATCTAATGAGAAAACGGAATTTTTGTTTCAGAAGGGTTTATGTTTTAAATGTTGTGGACCAAAGAGCCATTTGGCGAAGGACTTTACAGCTAAGGTGCAATGTGAGGTTTGCAAGAGTGCTAAACATCCAACTGCACTGCATAACTCTAAGGACGACAGCACAACTACACACTCCTAAACTGTGATCGATCACGGCGGGGAGAATTCCGTCAATTCAACAGATCAAACTAATGAACAATTAGAAAATGTGAGCTCAAAGTGTACTGATAAGTATTTACAGACATACGCTTTGATCGATGACCAGAGCAATAAATCTTTGGCCAAGACAGAATTTTTCGATCACTTTGAGGAACGAGGAGATGAGATTGAGTATGCCCTATCTTCGTGTGCTGGTCACTTCATTTCAACTGGACGACGTACCCGTGCTAAATATATGATAGAAGCCGTTGATTACAGCACCAAACTCTACTTGCCTAGGCTGATCGAATGTAATGACATTCCGAACAACAGGAATGAAATTCCAACTCCTGAAGTTTGTTCCTATTACCCTCATTTAGATAAAGTAGAACTTCCCAGTATGAACGCCAATGCAGACATTTTACTTTTAATTGGACGTGATTTACTTGAGGCTCACCATGTCTTAGATCAGTTTGTTGGACCTTCAGAAACTCCTTTTGCTCAAAAGCTACCCTTAGGATGGGTGATAATTGGATTGGAGAGGTGTGCTTAGGTGAGATCCATCTAGCTGATGCAGTGAACGTTAACGAAACCTTTGTACTCCAAAACGATCGACCGTCAATATTTGAACCTTGTGAGAATTCTTTCAAACTTAATGACAATATTTATCAATCTATAGACGATTAAGGAAACTCTGTTTTCATGAGAACACGGAACGACAACAAACTGGGACTGTCGGTGGAAGATAAACAGTTTCTGCAAATTGTTGATGATGGAATTACCAAGAACGCAGATAGAAACTGGGTCATTCCCCTGCCTTTGCGCAAAGATAGACTACCTATGCCGAGTAATAGAGAGAGTGCATTAAAGAGAGTCACTTCATTGGAATTCAGCCTGAAAAAGAATCCTGAAAAGAAAGAACAATTTCGTGAATTTATGCAGAAAATATTCGACAACCAACATGCAGAGATTGCCCCTCCTCTGAAAGATGGAGAAGAACACTGGTATTTACCCATCTTTGGGGTCTTTCATCCAAAGAAACCGAAACAAATAAGAGTCGTGTTTGACTCTTCAGCTAAACACCAGGGAGTCTCACTCAACAATGTGTTACTGACTGGACCAGACCGTACCAATAGCTTGCTGAGCATCCTCCTCAGATTCCGGAAGGAACCCGTAGCGGTGACAGTTGATATTTTTGATGTTTTTTTGGTTTTCAAGTAAATGAAGAGCACAGAAACTTTCTCAGATTTTTCTGGTATGAAAACAATGATATGGATAAACCTCTCAGAGAATACCGCATGTGCGTTCATGTGTTTGGGAACTCTCCTTCCCCCGCTGTAGCAACATACGGACTTCGTAAATCAGCTGAAAATGCCCAAGAAGAATTTGGACACAACGTTTGCGACTTCATTACGAACAACTTCTATGTCGATGATGGCTTAACATCGCTTCCTTCATCAGATATGGCTATTGACCTGGTTAAACGGACTCAAAAGGCCCTCCTTAAAGAAGGAAATCTACGAGTACACAAGATCGCATCAAATAGTAAGGCTGTAATGGAAGCCTTTCCCGCGGACGATTTAGCGAAGGATTTTAAAGAACTCAACATCGGAGATAATCCACCCTTGCAACGAAGTCTTGGAATTTGTTGGAATGTGGCACTAGACGCCTTCACATTTAAAATTTCATCCGATGCGATGTGAAACCCTTTACCTGAAGAGGTCTGTTATCAACAGTTAACAGTTTATATGACCCCTTAGGATTCTCTGCTCCCGTTGTAGTACAAGGCAAACTATTCCTACGGAATTGGATATCGGGAACTGATTGGGACGAACCGCTCCCTACAGAGCATGAAGAAATGTGGAATTCTTGGAGAGAATCTTTGTCAGTATTAGAAGAACTCAAAATCAATAGAACTTATACGAATAATCTCACCCCTATATCCGAGATACACGTCTTCTGTGATGCGTCAAAAGAAGCTATAGCAGCCTCATCATATCTGAAGACAATTGACCCAGAAGGAAACCCACATGTGTCATTTATACTTGGAAAAGCCAAAGTCGCCCCTCAACATGGACATACCTTCCCTCGGCTTGAACTTTGTGCTTCTGTTTTAGCAGTTGAAATCGCCGAAGTAGTATGTGAAAGTTTAGGTTATGATATGAACTCTGTGAAATTTTAAACTGATAGCCAAGTTGTACTTGGGTACATTAACAA